TTGTAGTTCAGTTGATTTACATTTTTTAGTTTTTTTGTAGAAATGTTGTTTCCAGGCAAAGTTACATTGTGGCTGTAATATAGTAAAGAGAAAGTAGAAACAAAAAAGTAGTTGTACATATATTGTAACAGCATTGTTTAACAATTTCATAACCTACTTTTTAAAATGTGACATGCAAGCACACTTAATAACTTTCAGTATTTTATATGTGTACATACAATGTTTCATATACTTTTGGAGAAATGACTGGAATCAATAAAAATTTTCTTTACAAACCTTATACAGTATACGGCTAGGTTGTTTATGTTTTGACAATAAGAATCAATAGTTGTTTTTTGAATAAAGCAACCACATACAGAACATGTTGTTCAGTTACAAACATGCCCTAATACAAACAAATACAAAAATTAAAGGTATGCTCAGCGACGGTGGAGACTGGGTGGAGGTGATGGAAACACAGGTGAGGAGCAGCTGTTCACATCAAGCCGGACTTTATGAAGAGTATGCTGGTGAAGATTCTTAGTCATCCAGGACATGATAAAATAAAAAGTTCAATACAGAAACACTGGACTTTAAGAGCGAAACGTCTTTATGTTACAAATAAAGTCCAGTTGTTTCTGTATTGAACTTTATAAAGGGTAATTAGATCATTTCTTGTCAAGTAAAAATTCTAAAACCTACTTTCTCTCTGAGTGTGTCCAGGTTGTTTAACGTTTTAAATGAATCCCCACACGACGGACTACCATTTCCAAATTAGGGTGTTTATGCTATATGTAAACACAAGGGTAATGAGGGACTATCTCAATGTTTTGTGGAAAATAATGTTGAAATTCATGACGATATGGGTATTGCAAATGGTTTTAATATTTTTTTTGTAACTGTTGGATCAAATTTGACAACTTCAATTCCTAAAGTGGACAACAATGTTAATTACTTAATCTGGCTGTGCTAACAGTTTGTTTCTAAATGGAGTTACTAAAGAAGAAGTAATGGAAATAGTTGAAAAATCTGCAAATAAAATGTTTAAAGATTGTCATAATATGGAAGTGGCAGAAATGAAGATGTTGTCCGCCCCTTTCTCCAAATAAGGGTATGGACTGACAGTGGTCCGTCCCCGCCCCTTTCTGCGGGCTGCAGCGAGGTGTACTTGGAACTGCTGGCTGGAACAACATCTTCAGAAACTGTGGCAGATCTGAAAAAAGCTCATGGAAAAATCTCAACACCTTGATGTCAAATGCAAATGTAATCATGTTTTAATTGTGCTTGCTCGTAGAGGTTTTTTTGATGTCTCAAATCGTGTCCTGATAGACAAGATGTGAAAGATCTTTTTTTTGTAATACCACTATCTACCCTCATGTTTTTACCCCTTTTCCTATCTAAGATTATTATCAGATAAGGATAAAATGACCGCGCTTTCTACAGTTGCAGCTTCGTGCACTCCGCCAATCTTTCGGACGACTGTACGTACATATTCACGTTGTACCTTGGTGCAATTCCAATAAAGTTTATTCTGATTCTTTTTCTGAAAAAAAACCCCTTATTTTTTATACATAAAATGTTTTGAAAAAACGTTTCCTGAGAAATTGCAAATGGTGGATTGGTGAAAAGTTACTGAGATCCAGTGACTCCTCCCCCTGACCAATCAGAGTCCTGCATTCACGTTTTGGTCTGGACTCAGCTCGCTCGGTCCCACCGGAGAAGCAGGGATGAAAAGTGGTCCTGAATCAGCCTCAAATCAGCTAAAAATACTAGCTAAAATACTGGCGCAAAAGGGTTTTTTCCGTGGCAGGCTGCCCAGAATTGGGGCTTATTAGGAGCAGTGCAAATGGGGCATAAATGCTAAACACACTAAACTACACCCTAACTATAAAACCCAAATATGCTAAATCTCTCAAATCTCATGACTCACTCCCACTCCTGGTGTGTTTCTATCGCCAATAAATTTCCTTTAACTTCAGTGTCTTTTTCGTCTTCTTGCAATTTTTTTGGCGCTTGACAAATAACTTCAGGCCTCAGTCAGAAAGGTGTGTGTGTATATGTGTGTGTGTGTGGGTGTGTGGGTGGGTGGGTGGGGGGGGTTGTTTGTGGATGTAAGAACAGATGGGAGATGGGGGTGTTTTCTCCATGAGACTGCCAGTCTTCACAGCTGCCTCCAGGCTTCAGTAGAAATAAGGTGGTCTGTCATGATTGGGTCCCTGACGTGACGTCAAGCTGTGACTGAAACAGCTTGAAATCATCCCAAAAACTATATTTTAAAAATTAGTTTGTGTTACTCTTCAACATTTGCCAAAGAACAAAGGTATTTATTTATGTCTCTATCATATTTAGCTGGAAATGTAATACGAAAAAGTGTTGGGTGTTGGACTTTAGCTATGATGGTTTTCAGGAAAATAAAATGCAAGTTTTTATCTACAGTGCTGACATAACTCTCATCTGCTCCATCAAACCTCCTAATCAGGGCAGCTGTTAAATTTGCAACACTTAATTAACTTGTTGATTTTCTTTGGCTGTCATTTGAATGTTTGACAGCCATAATGTGCTACTGTCATTATAATCACAGTCTTGCTAAATTTAGGATGTGTTAGCTTAGGACGAACAGTGGGCCATGTTGTGGTGGTGGTGGGTGGGGGGACCACTTAGTTGTAGCGCTCACCTGCAGGTAAGGCCGGATGGCTTTCAGGCTCGACTCTGGGATGTTTTCTTTATTGAAGTTCACCAGAGAGTCCAGGAACGTGTCCACTTTGGCCATCATCACCTTTGCTGCTTTCCAGCTGCGATCCTTTGGCACTTTGCCCTTGGGCGCTGTCAGGACCATGACTGCTGCCGTGACGTTGGTCACCGCCGCAACAGGGGAGCCGAACGACTTCAGCTCTGTCAGGTTGTACTGAAGGAGCGGTGTAAGAGGAAATCAAAATACAGAAAAAAAAACATGAAGCCAGCGATTTGATTGAGTTTGAACAACTGCACATCTTTGAGGTCTCCTGAGGGGTGGAGGGGAAATGTAAAAAGAGGGAAGGGATTAGAATAAAGCAAAAAGAACCTGTGCTGACTTTGAGACTACAACAGAGAATACTAATTAAGGCATCTTGAGAGACTTCTAAGCAGTGATTGAACTGTCTGTTCTGCTTGTTTGAACAGAGAGCACCTTTTAAACACAGAGGGTGTTTCTGAAAATCCCTAGAAACTGCCTGTAAAACCCAAACGGGATGCAGAACATTAAGACAACATTATTCTCGCAAAGACCTGGTTCATCCCTTTGATTTTTTAATATAATTTTACTGCCTTTACCCATTTTATCAAATGTGTTTTATAAAATCAAAAAGGTCTTTTAAAAAAGAACAGAAAGATAAAATGTGATAGAGCAGATCAATGAGGTGCAGTGAAGAATATTAAAGTAGCTGACTTTATTGAGTGTGTTCAGGGCATCCTGAGCTGCAAGAAGAGCCGGTTCAGCCTTGGCTAGGTCCTCCTCGCAATCTCTCTGTTTGGCACTGACCACTACAGCAATGGCTGCCACCTTCCGCTCTTCCTCATCAGCCACAGTTTTCTCCTTTGACACCTTCTCAGTTTCGATCCCAACCTCCTGCAGATGACACAAGAGTTTACAGCAGTGTTAACAGGGCAGGCTCGGTCAGTGTTTGTGAAAAAAAAACACCTCTTTGGATTTTATAATCCATTAAATGGCCATTATTAGTTGTTGTTATCCCCATACATAGCGTTCAGACTGCTCCTCCTCTACCTCCTAGTAGGTTGTAAAGATACATTAATATCGCTGATAATACGGGCACAGGGTTAAGTCAAGGGTCTAGGGGTTAGGTTTAGACTCAGGGTTAGGTTAAAGCACAAGGGTAAGGGGGGTAGGTTTAGGGTCAGTGGTCTGGGTCAGGTGTAAGGTAAGGTTTAGGAAAAGGGTTATATAAAGCAAACTAACTTCTGGTTTTACACTTGAGCCGCAATGCATACTGTATTATCAACCATAAAAACGTAACTTTACACTTACTAGGTGGTAGGAGGGAACAGTGTGAATGCTACCTATGGGGATGATAACAACTAATAACTCTGTTTAATGGACTGATAACATCCGAAGCCGCTGGAAAAAACAGCATGCATTTACTTACAAAGGGCATCAGCCAAGGAATCTGCATTGTGTTTGTGTAGGACAGTCATACTCAAAGTGTGGAACACACTTAATAGAGTGGGGGGCATTTTTTAAACATTTTATTTAAAACTTTGAGCTTAAAACATTGCAAGTGGAAGTAAACTTTAGACATTGCTGGGCAGTGCGAAGAGTTGATCCACTCCTTGGTCAGCCAGTACATGACCCGGACAGAAGTGATGAGGAGCAGAGAGAGAAGAGTTTCATCTCTTTTGTGGAGGAAAATTTGCTGTCTAGAAGAGGCATCACTTTAAATCAGGGCCAAACTGTCAGAGTGGGAACAGTCAATGTTGGAAGACAATGTTTCCACTGCTGGAACTGGGCAGGACATCCAACATATGGACTGGCTGATATTTGGGTTGTTCCAAGTCTGTTTGTGTGTCTCGACATGTAAATGTGAGCAAAAAGTAAAAAAAGGCAGCTTCAAATCAAAGAGATTTTTTGTTATCTTGTTGTTGCAACTACAGTAAATAATGAGATAAAAAAGCAATGTTTATCTGAAATTTTTGGCAGAACATAAAATTAGAATCTACATTTTGAGCCAGACAAGGTAACTTTATTCCCATCAGTCTTTTTTAAACACCAAATGAGAAATGTCAGTCACCATCTTTGTGAGGTCAGTTTATCAACCAGGACAAATGAAGGAAAACTTGTCTGAAGAAGTTGACCACTCTCCAGAAACTGATGGAGAACAGAACACCAACTGCTGTAGTCTGACATGAAAATTTTCCTGCCTGGATCAACTTGTCAGCATCCTCATTCTTCTGTTGGAGCTCCACTTCCTGAGCCGCCAGCTTGGCCTTCAGGTCATCCACCTGTCAGAGGAGACACACAGGTTCAACATCTGTGCAGGACGTGACCAACAAGGAAACTGCTACTGTTAGTCAAAGAACATGAGGAGGGAAACATGTCAGGAGACAGAGGGAGAAGAGGAAAATTAAGAATGTAGAACTGAGGGTAGACACTCTAAATGTGGGGATAATGACAAGCAAAGCACAGGGAGGAACACAGAGTGACCTGTAAGAGTAGAGGAAGGAGTACGCAGGTTGGCTACATTCTGTGTAGAAGAGGAAGTCTGAGGGAGATTGGAGACTGTAAGGTTGTGGCAGGGGAGAGCATGGCCAGACAGCATTGAATGGGTATGTGTAGAATGACTGTTGTTGTAAAGAAAAGAAAAAGAGCAAGATCAGAGAAGAAGACCAAACAGCGGAAGATGAATAAATACGAATGTTGTGAGAAAGTCAGAGGAGCTGTTAAAGACTCTGGGTAATAAAAAGCTTCCAAAGGACTGGGCTACTACAGCAACAGTAATTAGAAAGACAGGTAGGAAGGTACTTGGTGTGTCATCTGGACAGAGAATGGATGATAAGGAAACCTGGTGGTGGAATAATGAAGTGCAGGAAGTTATTAAGTAGGCCTGTCACGATAACAAATTTTGCTGGGTGATTAATTGTCTCAGAAAATATTGTGATAAATGATAATATTGTTTGAAATTCAACAATAATTAGTAATTGTCAAATTTAATAAGAAATGTTGGTTCATTTTATGTGTGTGAACTTTTTTTGACCACTGGGTGGCAGTTTAAGACAGTTTGAACTGAAGGATGGATAGTGAGGGAGCGAGCAGCGTGTCTCTTTAAGAAAAACTGGGAGGGAGGCCTCTTGACGTGACATAGGCTGTCTCCCTTCGGTTCTCAAAATGGTGGATGCTCAATGTGGTTTGAGCATCCACTTTCTTTAGCATAGCATTTGTCACACAATGCTTTTAATAAAAAAAAAAACTAAGTAACCAAGTTATCAGCTTCTTTTTGCAGAAATAAATGACTTTTTACACAAAGGTACGGGTTTCAACTGTGAATTTTGGAGCTACAACAAGACGGAGGTTTTTTCCAAAGGTCGGCCTGTTAGCTTAGCTCATAGCTTAGCTTCTCAGCTTAGCTGATTTAACGATCCAAAAACACAATTTTGGATGGTTAATTGGATTTTAAAGTGAAAAGAGAAAGGGAGGAGTCACTGAAGAGCACCGGAGCAGAGCCTTTTGTCATCCAGTGTCTTCAGTAGAAAAACACGAAGAAACGATAAAGCTGATAAATGAAAATGAGGTCGATAATTTTCATTTATCATGCGATTAAATGATTTATTTTTATTGTGCCATGCCTATTATTAAGCTTTATTAAGTGACTTTAAGCTATAAAGTCACAAAAGTTGAAATACAAAAAAGTAATCATAATACAGAAAACAAATTGACATTGGATATCAGTAGGAACTATTTTATGAGGCAAATTATTTTCTCTTTTATTTTAGTTTAATGAGTAGTGCCTCCTTATTAAACTGATCATGCATGCATGAATGAGAACCAGGTGGATAAGTACAGTAGGTGGACAATGGTTACAGAGTGTAGATGGACCTTGTGAGGTTCTGATAAATCAGAAGAGATGAAGAAAATAGGGTGCAGTGACAGAGAAAATAAGCAAACTGAAAAACCATAGAAAAGTAAAGCATTTCTGAATAAACACAGACAATATGTGCAAAACACAAAAGACTCAAGATTGTGACATAAACTCACAGTCCTTGAAAACATATTTACAAGGGCTTGGAGTGAGCTGTCTCTTAAACTAAAAGCACAGCATTAAGAATTTGAACTTTTTTTTACCTTTTCCAAAAAGCCTTGATTCGGTACTTGGTGCATCTATTCTTTGTGTTTAGGCTCAGCAACACTTGTTTTTCATGGCACACAGACCATTCCAAACATGGTGAGCGAACACCACATCTCTGTGAGATCAGTCTGAGTCTTTCATGGAATCTGAGTCAGACTCCATAATGTTGAGATCAGATGAGGATCTCCATCTGTTGGGCCATTGGCTAGTGTTTGGGGGGTGGATTTCAATAGGCAGGGCGGGGCGTCCTACTTGGGTAATGGTAGGGGAAACACTGGTGTAGCAGGCTGACTGGAAAAGTATTGATTGGGGAGAGGTGGCTGGTGGTACAGAGAAATACATAAAGACTAAATCAATGAAAAACCTCATAAATCTAACCAAACAAACAAAGAGGACCCCCCAAAAGGCAGCTAAAACACAAATCCTGACATCTCTATGTGGCCTGTGATGGACTTGCAAACTGTCCAGAGTGTACCTCGCCTCTCCCACAGTGACTGCTGGAGAAAGAAAGAATGGAAGGAAAAGTAGGTTAAAAAAGATTGATGGCTGGATGGGTGGAAAGAAAGATAATACATTTTTGACTATTTAATTGACTGGGTCAGCGCCTTTGGTTTAATCATAAAGCAACAATGTATCTACCATATTACATTGTGATGACAGAATATTCAGACATATATTCAGCCGCACA